GACACTGTCTTATACAATACAATGACTATATAGACTCCATTACTCCAGGGTAAAATTACACAATATATATCCGAATGTATCACCCACGTGTGATAAATGTCAGACCTCAAACGCAACTAATTTGCATAACTTCGTAACATGTCCTAAAATTGCACCTTTCTGGATGAATATCTTCAACGTTATCTCAGAAATCATTAATATCCATTTAGAACCAGAACCTTTATTGATTATTCTAGGTGTATCGGAAACTGTAAGAAAACTCATCAACCCTCAACAACAACTCCTCTCTTACTGCCTCATTACAGCAAAAAAAATATTACTAATGTCATGGAAAGAAACAAAGGTCCCTACCTCCAAAATGTGGCTACATGATATAACTAATACATTACATTTGGAAAGGATAAGGTATGTTTTTTAAAAGACAGACTTGGACAGTATAATAAGATTTGGCAACCCCTCATAGCATACCTCGAATGTAGAAGCACTTAAACTGTACTTACAATGATTTTTGAAATCTGTAATTTTACTTTTACTTAAGTAAATTTTGACTGAAGTATTGTACTTCGCTACACTGGAGATCACATCCGTTACTGAGTAAAAAAAAAAGAAAAAGTTTTCAGCTAAATGGAAACCAAAAGGGTGAATCTTGGAAATCTTGCGTGCAATTGACCCAGAACAAGCGGCCGGTTGCTGGCGAGTTACTGGAGACTACTACAAGCAGTAGGCCTACCACCATAACCAGAGCATGTGAGCGGAGCGGAACGGGTGAAAATTTCTGCTCCTCGCTCGCAGACCTGTCACTTTGCGCTGCTCGTCCGCTCTGCTTGGTTCTGTGCATTCTTCGCTCCACTCCGCTCCATCATAAATTTTATCCCGCTCCACTCGCTCACCACTCCGCTCAAAAAAACTGCATCGTACTACCCTAACCTGTAATCTTCTATTCACAAATAAAACATCAGCTTGGTAGATTCTCCGGGGAAGCCCTCTCCCCTCTCCCCTCAGTTAGGGACCGTTATAGTAATAGGTAGGCATAACCTATTACTAGTTAAATTTAATGAGTAATGTAACTATTTTAATTACTTCATTAAAGTAATGTAACTAATTACATTTGATTACTATTCTAACAAGTGTTGTAAACTGGGTTAAAAAGCTAAAAACTGTCTGTATTTTCAGAAGTAAAATCGATGATATCAGATCCAGTCTTTTATCTCAACAGAATGTAATTTTTAACACACCTAAACAGTTGCTTTTACCTGAGGAAACACTGGAGAGTTTTGCCCTGGTTGATGCAAGGACACTTGGTCGAGTTTTCTCCCAGGTAAACCCAACAACCTGCCTTTTAGATCTGATTCCCACATCACTTTTAAAAACATTTTGGATTCTTTGAGGAACAGATTTTAAATATAGTAATTTACTTTCTTCAGACGGGTGTCTTCCCCGCTGCCTTCAAAATGGCAGTGGTGAAGCCCCTTCTGAAGAAGAGTAATTTAGATCCCAACATTTTTAATAATTACCAACCTGTATCCAAAACAATATTTTAGAGAAATATCAATCTGGTTTTAGGATGAACCAGGTGTTTTCGAAGTGGTCTCCACGCATGCGCAGCTTGCGCTGCTAATGGTGCTCACAGTAGGAATGGGTAGTGGACAAAAACACGAATATAAACAGTAGAAATGTGGGGAAAATGCAAAAACGGCATCGTGACTGTCTGCACATGACCAAGATGAAAGCCTATGTGCAAGTTCAAAGAAGTAGGTCAAAGCAGTGAGGAGGAAAACGGATGATGACAGACATACGGGACAGACGGGACAGACGGACGGACGGCGGGACGGAGGTTTCTCCATTTAATAGTAGGATAGGATAAGAATAAATATTTTAACAAATTTCTAAGTTCAAATTATAGAATTCTTCAAAATCTAAATGCAATCTTTCTTTGTAAAATGCATAACGCTGATCAGATTGATTTCAGAGTTAATAATTGATGAAACAACATAAATGTAACTGATTACCGTCATAATACTTTAGTTGATAACTCAATATACTTTATTTTTTACAAAACACCCAGTGTTTCGGTAGTAACTGCACTGTTTCAGTAGTCACCGTTATTCTGTTTTAAGGTTGCATCATATTTCCTCAAATGTATGCCTTATGATGGGAATATTACAAAGACAAATGTTTTGTGGTCAATAAAACAATTTAATTTTTGAGAGAGCAGAGCAGAGTAGAGTAGAGTAGAGAAGAGAAGAGAAGAGAAGAGTATAGTAGAGCAGAGTATAGTAGAATAGAGCAGAGTAGAGTAGACCAGAGTAGGGTAGAGAAGAGTAGATTATAGAGTAGACCAGAGTAGATTAGAGCAGAGTATAGTAGAGTAGAGTAGAGTAGAGCAGAGTATAGTAGAGTACAGCAGAGTATGGTAGAGTAGAGCAGAGTAGAGTAGAGCAGAGTAGAGCAAAGTAGAGCAGAGTAAAGCAGAGCATAGTAGAATAGAGCAGAGTAGCGTAAAGCAGAGTATAGTAGAGTAGAGCAGAACAGAGCAGAATAGAGCAGAGTAGAGTAGAGTAGAGTAGAGCAGAGCAGAGAAGAGCAAGACTTTGGACCACAAAATTATGGGGTTTAACTACTGACCATTCCATTTTGTCACTACCGAAATGATCATGTCACTACTGAAACTTTACCATAGGTTTCGGTAGTGACTGTTTCGGTAGTGACATTCCTAGCTATTTTTCAGGATAACTAAAGAATGCTAGCAGTCACATGGCCAACAAGCACATGTTTGAAGAGTTGTTCACACAGAAAAACATAATATTTTGCATAAACCCCCCAAATGTTTACATAATTGAAGAGAGCATGTGTTCAGTAGTGACAATTTTAAAAGTTACAAACTGATTTTCAGACTTTGGAAGACATTTATTTTAAAAAATGATGGGAGTCAGCGACTTACCATGCAGCCATGTGGGACAGGGATGTGCAGTACTACCCCTCTTCTCAGAAATTCAGGGGTGTGGCTAAAATCCAGTCTCAACCAGTGCATTAAAACTCTTGTGTTTCGGTAGTGACATGAAAACAAGGGACACTATTTCTTTTTTTTTTAGCATAGTTTCTTAATTTAAAAATGAATCCCACAATACATCTAAATCTTTCACCTTCTGTTTAAACTTAATCACAAAGATGTTTTAAATTACACTTTTGAAAAAAATATGAAAAATGTCTTAAGTGTTATTTACATGAATTGAATTTTAGAGGTCAGGGTTGGGGACAGCTACTTCCCAATAGAAAGTACCCTATAATTTTGTATATATTTAGCTTATCACTTTTTCATTTAATGCCCTGGGTTTAAATAGGTCATAACATAATCTTTGTAAATATCTATGTCTGAATACTCA